GGGATGCTCCTTTACTCGATGAACTTTGCCCCCAGCTCACCGGCCTCCTTGGGATCCTTCCTTGGGGCTCACTCCGCTGACGGTGTCCGCTGTAGCTCCATCTCCGGTCCATCTGCCCCCTCTGCAGCAACCGCCACCATTTTTATTTTCGCTGGCTGGCGTCTGACGCTGACGTCACTGGCCAGCCGCAGCTGTACATAGAGGTGGCTCACGAGCCATGCGGGTTCCTCTCCCCGTTCCCCGTGGGCTACATTCTGGGCTGCAGGTGAGTATCCCACATTACCTCGCTTCCTGAGACATACTGTATTTTATTTGGGAGGACTGGTTGAGGGAGCAAAAGCCATCTGCAGAAGCCAACCCAATTACGGGAGTTTAGGCCATTAGATAAGCTCACTATTCATGCTTTATACCAGAGGCTGGCAAACCCTGCATTACTTCATCAATCTACAATTAACCAGACACCATAAAGTAACACTGTAAAACAAGATGTCCTTGTAAGATCTTTCAAGTTGTTTCCCCATAGATCATAGGTCAGGGACACGCAATTATTTCAGGCGGAGGACTGCATACTGAGTTTTGGCAAGCCATCAAGGGCTGTATGACAGGCAGCCAGGGACAGATAAATATTAATTTTCTAAATTGTTTAGGGGCCCCGCAGGCTGGATAGAATGGGCTGGCGGGCCGCATTTGGCCCGTGGGCCGCATTTTGCCCACCCCTGTCACAGGTGCTTGACTTCCTCAGGCTGCTATAGTGTAAGTTGTCTCAATTTTCATGAGACATTGTGACTTCAACTGACTCATTATGTCATTCAAATCCAAGTTTAGCTGAGTGGATTTCAGTCAGAAGTAACAGCTCTGAAGTTTGTTGTGTGAGTTTCTTTATTTGGGGAACATGGTTTTAGAAGTGGGGTACTGAATTTTGTTATTCTTCTTGTATACATTCAAAATACAGGACTTTCACTGATCAGCTTTGTGATTGGTTTAAGTATTGATAGCTCAGTCTTACTATAGGCTCAGTGAAGGTGAAAATATACCACATGAAAGATTGTATCAACATTATGACATTCAAGAGTACTCTGCAAAGCATGCTATTATATCACTGTACCAATTCAAACATATTTTACTTGAAAGTCTGAATTCATACATGACTTGAATATAAATCAAGATCAACATTAAGAATCAGCTTACTAAAGATTTCTAACAAAATGTTTGTCATTAATTAATTCTAACATTAAAAAAAATTGTGCAAGAGATCACTTGAGTGTCTTATGCATTCGCAAGCATGTTTTTGATTCAAGTGAAAAACTCCACCAGAAAAACACAAACTTATACATTTGTCTTGGTTATTAGCAAGCTAAACATGTTAAAATTAGAAAAACAACTCCTAGCTTTATACAATGAATGGTACTGTTGTGGGAAATAAATTGGAATGTCATCTAAGCACAAAGTAGAAAGAATCATGTCTGATTTATTTTTGACGACTTATAAGCTAGTGTGATATTTTTAAAAAGCATTATAATCAAAATTCAATAGAAGAAATTTAAGGTGATAAATATAACATGCTGTGCATACATGATACAGTCTCAGATGGAATCTAAAGTGCAGTATTTCTCAGTTAAATCTCATAATTTATGCTGTTTTCGTAGTTGGGGACTTTCCAAGATACTGAATGCCTTGTATAGGAAAAAAATGACATTTTAAAGTCCCCTCACTGAGTGCTCATTCTGCTCTCATTGTGGCAAATGGTAAAATTACCTTTGATTCAATGAAGCAAGGAGGACTTAAACCAATTTATATATAATGAGCAGAGAGGAGATGGAGGTTCCGAGTAAAGAATAGAACAGTGATTCCAGATTTATTTCAGCTTGGACCTCCTGTTTAAAAACTAAATGGCCTATTGCCAGCTATTCACCATCCCTTCCTGATTCAGTGGTATCCTAACTGAAGTTATACAAGATATAAACTCTGCCCATTTGGTCCTGTTGGGACATAACCAAGACCTAGAAATAACAGTTCAAACAGTTTAGTAGCAGTCCAGTCCAGGCTATACTCAAGTTCTCTCAGTCACTTATAAGGGTGCATCTATACACACATCTATGTGTTTTAATGTGCACTAATTTGGCCCAAGAACCAAATCCTTTCCTTATTTAAAACTGCCACACAAGGGTGATATTAGCTGAATACCAGATATTGACTGTATGACTTGCATAAGTTCTGCCTACCTCCAAATACAAGATTAGACAGGTGAGGGCCATCACAACACACTTATTGACACTAGTTACTGTCCCTTGAGCAAAAACCTCTGCTAGTGCTTGCTGCTGACAGATACATAGGGGATAGCAGAAGACTAGATGGGTCTCCTTACTCACATATCATACCTCTTATGGATATAGTGTTCATGCTGGCATGTTAAATTGGTATATTTTTTAGTGTACTCTGAAGTTCTGTAAAGGCACACCTAATTCGCTGCTTTTAGTAGGATGTGAAAAATTAGAATCACCTCTCAGCCAACCAGTATCACTGCAGCCTTGTCTGATTATGTCTTGCACTCCAGTCTCATCTACATATCAAATTCACTCAGATAATGGAGACATCAGCTGATCTGGCTGGGTCTGACAAAATATAACATAATGAAGACACCCTAGCCCATGTACTTTAATAATGTTCTAATGGCCTCATATACAAGTTGAACAGGAGCCACTGCCATCTTTGAATAGTAGGAGTGAGGTGTGTCAGAAGCAATTATCTTTAATTTATATTTATTTTCCTTCTTAACAAAATAAATGCTTGCAATTTTTTTTAAACTAAACTAGCTGGCTATAGTGTTAAGCTTGTTAAGCTTGTTTATATACAACATAGTATCTTTGGTTTATTGTTACTGTTTAATTTTCTTCTTAATTTCTGTTTAATCAACAATGTTGCCCCATCCATTCTTAGATAAACTGAAGTAACTAAAGTAACAACTCAAGATCTATTGGGATGGGTCAACTAAATTTAAATAATTCATTCTTTTCTGAGGTCTATTGATATAATGATTTTATAAAGATAAAATATTAATTAAAGCTAATGAAACTAAGGGCCAATCCTGAATGGTGACGACTGTTTGCAATGGGAAGGTACTTAATTCCTTGGAAGAGGCACTTGACTAAAAATGTTCAAACTTAGATATCTAAAGTTAAGCCCAGAACTAGGTTGCCTTTGATCTAAATTTTAAAATGGCTTAGAGTTAACAGCATACATTGGAAGCTACAAATGCACAGCACTTCTACATGCTTAAATATGAGCTTAGGTTCCTACCTCTAGGAATTCAGGCTTGAAAATGTTGGCTTCAACACGTTGGAAACTAGGCCCTGATATTTTACTCATCTGGCTCGTATATTCTGTAATTCTAATTATCTCAAGAGCTCTAAAGTCTAAGTGCAAAAGTACATAGGTCCTGGCCTTACAAACCCGTTCATATATGCTTTACTTAAATTATTATTACTTACTGTCAAGTCCTACTGCTGGTTTATCATGCTTTGGAAAAATAATTAGAAATCTAGATGTTTAGTCATAATTTACTCCAGAAGAAAAATGCCTGCGATGAAGGAATTTCAAATATAGAGAAAATATTTTGAAATATATATAAACGCTTATCAGTGTGTGCTTTGTACTAGTTTTTGCCATATGCTGCTTCCTTTACTCCCATTAACATTAGTGAGTCTGTTCATGAAAGTAAAGCAAATAAATTATCTTAACTGGGTTCAACTATCTTTATAATTTATTTTTAATTGACACAGTTTGGTGTTTCTCTTCTGTATGAAAAGCCCTGTCCCTTTCATCCTTGTGGAAACAGACTTCATACTTGTTTTATAGTTTTCTCACCTGGAGAATGTGAGAGGCAGAACTGTTGATCAAACAGACAATGGAGAAGCAAGTCCACTGACATCTAGGAATAAACTGAGTTGAAATCACAACAAGGCATTGTCTTTATCCTCTTTCTCTCTCATGTGCCAGTTGCATGGTGAAGTTTACTGCCACCTGTCAGATGTGGAAAGATAACAAGAAAGACACTGATGGGTGTAGTTCTTCAGGTTTTAGCTGGAAAGCTTACTCTTTTAAGAGTGTGAAATAATTAGCTTGATGTCAAATTAAATTAAAAGCTCAGTCAAAATCATCATGGGCTCTAGAGGCCTTTCTAAGTGTGGATTTAGAAAACGTAAGTAACACATATGTGGGGATGGGGGAGGGTTGGGAAGGTAACAGATGAGGATTACTAGCCCGCAAAGCAGCTTGATAATACTTTAATCAATGCCTGGAACAAATCCAAAGTAATCATAGGACCAAATTCAAGGTGGATTTTCTACACAAGAACTGCAGAACCATTCATGAAAATCTGGACAGGAAATCCTTGCTATGTAATACAAATACATTAAAAACATAGTACTTATGAAAAAAAAGTTTATATTTCCAAATTTATTTGTAATAAAACAGTGCTCTTTTAGTTAATATACTGATGTTACTCAGTCAGCTATTCTGGAAGCAGATGCTCTGTTTACCCATAAAAGGCATTATGCTGCTTTTCTGACTCAGAGGTATTGTGGGAAAGAATCAATTCCACAGCAGTTTATTCCTCATCAGGTTCTTGGCTGATGACCCTGCTTTTGATGATTTGTGATACCTGCTCACTAGAAACTATAATAGGATCATCAATTAATATACCATATGCCACTGAACATTCATCAGATGATAATGACATTAAGCCATTTCTAACCTGGTCAGTATTTATGTCTGTAACCTAGCAGTAAAAAAGCTCTGCAGCCCTTTCCAAGTACTCTAAACTATCCAGTCCTTCAGTTTTTTACTGGTTAATATTGATGATGGTGCACATGTATCTTGACTCTGGAAGAATAACATATATTGGAATGTACTCTTCAATTGTCCTTGTTCTGTGGGCCAGAAACTCACTTCATGCTGATTTACTTTTAGTCTATGCGCTTCTAATCAGTTTTGCTTGTGCTGTGTTTAGCTTGGTGAACTGTTAAAAATGGAGGAAACAGAACTGAGTTTATGATCCATAGCTGGTTAATGTCTATTTATAGCGTTAAATTATATTTTCCATTGTGTCTCTTAATTGTCTTTGATTTTATATAACAAATCTAATTTAATTCTATTTAATTGTGATACTCTGATAAAGAGTATTGTGGTCTTATGTTCCATTAATCTTTCATATGTGACATCCTACAATGTACACCTGTAGAATTTCAGTTAGTCAAACTGTTCCTAGCATTTGTTCTATTTTTACTCTTCCTTTGTGTAGGCATTTGATCCTGCATATGGGATCTTTAGCACTATACTCAGTGTACTGTCTTATTCTGGCTCTAGGACCAAGATGACTCTAACTAGCACGAGGAAATCATGACACTTGTTTGTGCTCCAGTTTATTTTGATCCAGAGTGATTCAGTAGGTGAAAGGTTAGTGCCGTGTACGTGCTCAGTCAAACATGTCTTTCCTTTTTACCACCTCTGTACTTTAACAGTGTTGAATCATTTCCAATATTTTTGTAAATGTGCTAGAGAAACAGAGATGATAATACCTTATCCTAAACGTAGAGTAATATGGGAAAGTCTAAAAGATCAAAAAGATGAATTGATATGACTTCCATAAAGATGCACTTGTGTATTTAATTGTATTTAAAAGATTAAAAGATAAACTGAGGAATCCTGGCATTTCTGTCACCAGTTCCGTGTATCATCCTATGACAACTGTAACCATCACCTCATTGAATCCTTCTTTGTGCATTAGGTAATCCATTATATGTGCACTAGATTATCTCTGTACTTCTCTATATCTTCCCTGTGCACTGCGTTCCTCTGTTCTGGGTGGCCGGGATGGAAAATAAAATTCTGGATATGGTTCTCTCCTCTCAACACTAAGCAATGGTGCTCCTGTTGGATGGCTACACACTTCAGCTGCTTCTAGCCCTGAACAACAGAGGCACACTACAGTTCCTAGGAAAGAAACATAATTTCCAACCCCAAAACATTCATGAGTCAAGCCACACAAAAATTACAACATAGACCTAAAAACAATTCTATCTATCTATCTATCTATCTTTAAAAGCTGGATCCATTTGATTGGCCTTCTGGTGTTTGAGTCTTTTGGTGATAAGTTCTGAAGCTGTCTTCTACAATGACTAGATTAAGAAACGTTTCTTTTTTAATGAAGCTGAGATTCTTATATGATCATGTAAGCCTTATATGTCTTACATGAGCACTCAAGTCTTTAAAAGACACATCAACTATCACAGGAGTTGGCAACACTGGTGGAAGAGGAAGAGGAGGAAATAGTCTCATTCCCTCACCTGCAGAAGCTAAATTTGATCCCACTGCCTAAGTCTGCTGACAAAAAAAAAAAGGAAGAAGGAGCACGGGGGAGGAGGGAAAAGGTGGCCCAACGGAAGATACATGGTGGGGAAAGAAAAGAAAATGTCTTAGTTAAGTTCAAGAGGTCACAAAATCTGGGGAGAGCTGCCATAAGTAAAATATTCCTCATACATCTGTTCAAACCAGCCCCATGCTTCAAATCATTGGGCTGTTCTGTCACTGATTTTAATGTGTACTTGCTTCATTCCAAACAGTGGGTTCTTTCCTGCTGCCATTTGCCTGTGCTCTGTCATGGAGGCAAAACATAAATTTACTGCACACCCAGCAGTAAATACTATGAGTGGAAAATGTGTTTGGATAAAAATGAGAATGCTGTAGGGCTGTCATGCTATAGGAATTTGGGGCAATCCCAAGGCTGTCTATGTGGTTTGTCCTCGGGTGACTTTGCATCCCAGAAGAACAAAGATAGAGTTGTTTGCTTAAGCTGCAGCCACCTAGGAAATATACACCATCCATTTTGTCCTCCAGTGACTTTTTATCTCGCGGGAACAATATATATATACACACATACACAGAGCTGTACAGTGTTGGGAGATCATGCTAAGTTTTAGGACTGAGGAAAATTAAAATGAGGCAGGAGGGAAATTACAGTTTCAGTTGTCTTGCATCGCTGCCTGTCATGACAAAATGGCAGTACAGTATTGTTCTGCATAGTTACACATTAAGAAATACTTGAGCTGTGACATAAATTGTATATTACTTCATTATTATCACTAATGGTGGAAGATTGTGTAAACTGATGGCCTGTCAACTCATTTACATTTGTACAGCGACTTTAAAAACTCAGCTTTATTAATTTCCAAAGCATTTTAATTACCCATGTTAAAATGTTTGGGGGAATGAAGTTCATCTTTGTCAGCCATCATTTTTTGCCTCTTACCATGCCCCAAAGCTTTTTAAATGTTTACTGACTCTCTGTTTAGTTGTATACTAACTTCAAACTCCTTTTTCTGCCCTACAAAACTAGACTTTCCTCATAAATTTCCAAGCTTGTCTGCCTTTATACTTGCCTTGGAAACATTCAAACAGACTCAAATGAAATGGAAAATATCAAAATAAATCAGTTAACAGTTTTCCCTACAGGGAGATTATTAAAAATATGAACCATTCATGACAGGTGTTAGTCACATCACTTCATATGCCACTGGAAGGTTCTCCAATTCTGTGACGATCAAAGCAGAACAAGATGATTCTATATAGAATAGAATATTGCGAAAATGATGCCAGCCGTAACATCATTTCTTTTTCCTATGTCCACTCTGTTGTCCCTATGCATAAAACATCTCCTCAAAACTGTTCACCAAACCACCTTTCCTTTTCAAACAAATCTCTCCTAGAAACTTGTTTCTGCCAGGCTGCCTAACAGAAATTAATTAAAATATAAAACAGAAATGTTAAATATAATATAATAATACTTTCACAAGCATGTGCATTAATTACTAAATTATCCCTGTGGTCACATTGTTTTTATCTCTTTTTCCCTTCACTTCTTTTTAATCTATTAATGATTCATACTTCTTGTGCCTTGCCTGACTTTCATTTGGAGCAGAAGTTATGTCTTCACTTGTTGATGTGAAGTATTTATACACTCTGGGGTGTGTAATAACAGCAAGCAAACTTCTTAGAGGCCCTGAAGCCACCCGTTTGCTACATTTCAATCTGGCAATATCCTCTCACCCACCCAGTCCTGGCTATCATCGGTCTTAATTTTCCAAACAACAGATAAGTAATGGAGATCTCCAAAATGTATAGCAAAGGGCAAACATTAATAGTAGTCATCTTTCTCCACGGGAAGGCTGTATACAAATGTAATAAATAAATGTATACCAGAGACAGAAAGACATTTTGGTATTTTCTTGTTCACATGTGCACACATTACCTTCAAATTTGGTTTCATACAAGTAATAATAAATGTGAGGCTTGTGAGTTGTATTTACTTGTTTAATTCTGTTTCTACTCCGCTCAAATATAACCCCCAATGCAGCGTTCCCAAATTTTTGAAATATGGTAACACCTTAATTGTCACCCCCCCCGCCCAATTCTGGCTGTTTTTATATCCTTGAGTAGTAGCTTGCAGGTGGAACATGTAGATCTGGGTGAGAACGGCGGGTAGCACCACAAGCACTTTAAACTGGTGTGACCAAATGGGCTACAAAATATGCTTAAGAAGTCTTCTGACTTTCAGCTCCTGTTGGTTTATTCATATAGCACCAGCACAGCCAGCTGAAGAGATCCTGTAAGGAAACTAGATTTATATGCCAGTTCATCACCTTTTCACTGAAGTGACTGGTGAATAGGCGTTTGGGTAGTTAGTAAAAGGACCAAAAAAGAATGAAAAGGAGGAAGTAGCCACATCCTTTGTCTCTGCATGCTGCAAAATTTTATTTTCTTTCTAAATTGAGAGGGATTAACTTGTCTAATAGTATGAAAACTTTCTATGTATTGTTATAAAAGAGTACAGTGGCACCCATGTGTGTTTAAGCTTATAATCAACCCTGCTCTCTAAGCGGGTTCCTGGTCAATCAAGCTAGGGAGCCAAAGATGGTTGGACATAATGTTAGCCTCATGGGCTGTGTAACCGTGAGCAGGAACGTGTGGTTTGTGATGCCTCCAAGCCTTCTGAGATGCTGCAAAATGCATGTGGCGCACATTAATCCATTTGCTGTGTTGCATATTTGCAGCATGGTGGCAAAATTAAATACCAGGACATCCTGGTGTCTAAAACAGCTGCACCAAAAAAGCAGTGCAGTGAATGTGGCAGCATTGTGCGCTGCCAGAAACTGGACCCTGGCTGGCCAGAGCTGTGCTCCAGCTGCTGGCCAGGCTCCGAGCAGCTGCACCGCTGCTGCCCCGGGACACCCCCAGGTAAGGCTGCTGAGGCCAGCCTCCACTACCCCACCTGGGGCATTTTGCTGTGCATGTGCAGGAGTGTGCCACAGGGCAACTACCTGCTGCTGCCATTTGTCCCTGGGGAAATGCGTGTTCCCTGGTGGGGGTGCGCCCATCATGTCTGTGCACAGTGGGTACAAAAACTGGCGTGCCATAAGCAAGCTCTGAAATGATAAACCAGGAGCCTGAGGTGAACCTTTGACTCTTGACACATTATTATAAACAAAAGTTTCTTGGCGCTCAAGGCAAGGAGAGTTTTGTACCACAGGGATCATTTTGTCCTAGAACTCGTTCAGAAAGCCAGGGGCCCCGTCCTCCGCGTAGCCTTGCCGGCGAGCCTGGATAGCGAGATGGTTGCGGGATGCCCGACTCCTAGCAGGCGGGCAGGCGGGGGCACGACAGCGATCGCCCTCCGTGGATTCCTGCTGCGCCCAAACCTGAAACCCAGCGACAGCAGGTATCTGCTCGGGCGGCCCCAGGGGCTCCCTTGACTTGGTGGCTCATTAAAATCGACCCGTTCCCTTGCGAAGCTCCCCTGCACACGTGCCCTCCACCCCCACCTCGCAGCAGCGCCGCCTCTGGCTCAGCCCCCGTCACTCGCGGCGCGGAAGGGGCGGGGCCGCCCGCGGTGACGTCCCAACAGGCAGCGCCCCCAAGCCGCGCTCAGACTCGGGCTCCGCATCCGCCCT